TCTTTAGGGCATGATTAACAACAATATTCACAGTTCACTAAAAAAAGTAGGTACTAATTTATGATTATTTGTATTATTTTATTTGGATGTAAACAGGTATTAACCAGTACTTTTCTTCAATGGAAGTTCGTACCTCTTATCATTTGAATGCTTCAAGTCCAAAACCAGATAATTTACCTAATTTAAGAAAGAATTAATGAAAGTATTAACGACTGTTGGGAAACAATGATTCCATCTTTACAAAAAATGAGGAAAACTTTCATACAAGTGAAGAAAGTAATTACAAAGAGGTATAGATCATGCATAGACATAGAAGTTACTGGAGGAAAAAGCCAGAAACAATTACTTTCGCATAAACATTGAATTACAAGAAAAAAAATACTTTCCAAACATCTACTCTCATAAGAACATTGAAATGTACGAAAATCACTTTTTCCCATTTACGCTGAAATCCAAACATTCATTATAGAGTTGAATCAGATATCATTCATACTTCAATTTCAATTCATTTCATTTATTAGTCTTAAGGAACTTGAATTTCATTGACAAGTCATAAAATTATACTGAAAATATATTAAACTATAGTAAAATCAGTCACATATCAAAAACACATGTTTCTCAGGTAATATATAGATATATCTAGGTGTATCAAAATAATTGGAAATATCTATAATAAAATAATAAATACAATAATGAATATTTATATATAAAAACAAAAACAGTTAAATTTGAAGTTATGTTTAACTCTACACATGTACCGATAGGCAAGGGAAAGTAAAGAACAGTGCACAGTAAAATACATGAAAGAGTCACTATATCAAATTTTACATAGAACACCATCATCCTCAATGACGGACTTCGAAGTTTCGGAATAAGACACTTGTCTTATTACTTTATCACTCCGTTCTCTCAATTCAATTCATTCACTATGCCTTTATGTTTGTACCTGAAAGTAACTTCTATGCATGATCTACACATCTTTGTAAAGAGTTTATCAAGACGCTTTTATTAGCTTCACTTGTACATTTGACTCCTTTGGATTCGATTTTGACTAAGTTTAAACGGACAGATGTATTTTAAACTTTGTACATTTATCAAGAATTAGTGACAATACAATGATTTCATAAATTTATCTCATTATCCTGATCAGGATCGCCAGGATTAAATAATTTCGTCATACAGTCGCTGTGTGAGAGCAAGTGAGTCAACCACACTGCGGATGTGTATTTATTTTATATTAAAACAAATGGGCTTGAAATACAAGCCAAACTGAAAAGTGGAAAATAAATAATAGTTTAAAAAACACGCTTTAATAGCAACACATACAAAAAAATTAAAAATAATTCGATAAGTCCTATGGCTTTATGTAACTTATGACTTTTAATGAGTCTGAATTCAGAATAAATCTATTCACAAAAAAGTTGATTTTGTTGTAAAACACCGTGAGGTACTGAATATCCATTGTTATAAATACTTGGTTAAGAGTTGTTTGCCATATTGGAGCCATCATAAACATATTATTTAGAGCATCCCACGCTTTTTTAAACATTTTTTTTGTAAATATATTTATTCTGATTTCGGACTTATTAAAAGTCATTAGTTACATCAAGCCATAGGACTTATTATCGGTGTTGAACGCAATCTTAAATTAGTTTCGAATTATTTTTCATTTCTTAGTATGTGTTGCTATTGAAACGTGTTTATTAGTTTTTTAAACTATTATTTATTTTGAACTTAATTGCTTTCTTTCTTCTGTTGGAAGTTTCCTTAATTTCTTGTATAAAGATGGAGAAGTAGGAAGCTAAAAACATTTCTTCCCCAAAAACTAATCTACCCTAAAAATATACGTCTTTCAATTCATTAACGTATAGGGTTTTTCCTACAACTACTTAGTTTGAAAACATTTTATTTCTTTATTGATTTATATTTTGTATTATACATTTTTGTTAGGAAATTAACTTTTCATAACTCTATAATCGAGCAGTCGTCCAAAATATCCATCTGCCTGGGTTTTTATGTAAATTCTTTTATTTTTATTTTTACTTGTCATTTTCGTATTTTGTCATTGCATATCATTGAAATGCTCTCTTCTCTCGAAACGAAATTTCATTTCCGAAAAAGAGATGAATATTCAGAAGGACACTGCTTGGGATGTTTTGAGTAGGTACTTACTCTTATGGATTATGACAAGGAATTCGGTCCCAAGTGGTTGACCCTTCTTGACTATATTTATGACCCCGACCATTGTCAGTGATGATGTTTCGAGAGTTACTTCGAAAACATTTTTTAGCCAAGACATTCATTCTGTTGTGGGATTTCGGCCGGGAACTATTTCTTATTCTGGGGTTTCCGCTGATCGAGAAAATACTTAGCGTTAGTTTCTCGAGGTTACCCCGAGAAACTTCTACTGTAACTTCTACTTTTTCAGAAAAGACAAACAAACAAATGGTAAAACGCTAACAAATAATAATGTTAAACAAACTATATCCCTATTTCTTCTAAATGTTCAGTCAATACGCCATAAAACCGACGAATTACTTTTAGAAGACCAGATGTTTCCAAATAATGTTTTATTAACAGAGCACTTGGTGATGAATGATGAACCATGTTATTTAGAAAACTATATATCACTCTCTGAATATTGTAGGAGAGCTGGTTATGGTGGCACTATGATATTAGTTAATAATGATTTCATTTCTGAATTTAAAGGAGAGAACATCACAAAATATGATTATTTGTTTTCTAAAAAAATATTTGAATGCTCTATTTGCTATTTCAAAGAAATTAAATTGGGTATTATGTGCCTCTATAGAGCGCCCTCTGCAGATGTATTGTTATTTTTAAATAAATTAAAATTAATTTTAACCGATTTACCGATATATTCAAATTTAGTTGTGACTGGAGATCTCAATATAAATTATATGGATATGAAATCACCGACCACCCAAACACTTCATAATCTTTGTTTGAAGGTGATTGACAATGTTTCGTGATGAATTTCACTAGTTCGGACTTCCATTGTCTATTATATAAAATGATTTGAAATCCCTGAAACAAGTAAAAAAGAATAATTAAAAAAGAATAGTTGAAAGTAACAATTATATTAAGCAACAATAAACCTGAAATGAAATGATAGTAAAATAACCTACAAGTAAAAATATAATAATTGAATAAATAAAAATTAAAGGAATGCAAAAAGAAAATAATAAAAATAAAAAAGTGTAGAGATTCCAAGTCACGTTAGTTCACGACGTTTCGATTGTTGGTATCTACAATCGTCTTCGGGTGATGACTGGACTGATTCCTCCGAGAGATGACTATTTTATAGGTCGTTGAAATACTTTCACTTTCTCTACTTTCCATTTTCCGCTTCACTGATTCCGTGAGGGATTTCCGTTTCAGGGATTTCAAATCATTTTATATAATAGACAATGGAAGTCCGAACTAGTGAAATACTTCATAATCTATTCAAGTCTTTCAGTCTGTACGTGCATGTTAATTCATATACTCGCATTTCTCAATATTCGTCGTCTTGTATTGATTATATTTCGAGTAATTTTCTCTTGGAAAATATTAAGTGCACTGTTATTTCCTCAGGACTTTCAGATCATGAAGACATCAAATGTACCATAGATCTCGATATTATGAAAAGTAAGAAATATAAATATGGGAGACTATACAGCAGTGCGAATTATAATAGATTCTACCGAAACTGTCTTGAACTTGACTGGAAAAACATATTATCCGAAAATGATCATTTTCTTGTTTTCCATAACCAACTCACCAAAGTGTTCAATTTTTCATTTCCTGTTCAAAAGATCAAAACAAAAAATAAAAAGCCTTGGATGACGCAAGGAATTGAAATTTCGTCAAGAAATCTTCGCTCTTTACACCATCTGCGGAAATTCACTGATAATCCTTACTTTCATTTATATTTTAATAATTATCGGAGAATTTATAAGAATACCATTAGACTTGCTAAAGAAATTTACATCAAAAATAGAATTGATAACTCACACAATAAACTGAAAGAAAGTTGGTCTATCATGAATGATTTGATAAATAGTACCAAAAAGAGCAGAGATATTGAAATACCAATCAGTGTGGACGATATAAATGAATTCTACTGTTCGATTGGACAGAAAATCAGTCAAAATATTGTGGTACCATATGATCAACTGATTAATTTTGAAAATGTTGTAATCAATGAATCTCTTCAATTGGATGATACGAATATTGATGAACTGTTTGAAGTTTTTGGTGATATAAGGAATAAATCAACATCTGGTTATGATGAAATTTCAATCAAAATTATTGAAAATTTTCCGATAGAAGCGCTCAGAATTCTTGTATCACTAATCAATCTTTCATTCAGAAATGGCAGATTTCCATCCTTTCTAAAATTGTCGATAATGATTCCTTTATATAAAGGTAACTCTGTAGATGATCCTTCAAATTATCGACCAATATCTCTCATACCTACTATTGCAAAAATAGTTGAAAAACTAGTTAAAAAAAGACTCAATGAATTTCTCCTTCGCCATAACATTATAAGGAAAAATCAATTTGGATTCCAGAGCAACAAGAGCACACATGATGCAATATTCTCTTTCCTGTTTGAGGTGTATTGTTGTTAATAAACTGTGTTATTGATAAATGTTGTATTCGTCTGAATAATAATTCACCTATCACCAGTCCCGACAAACTATTAATTTTCAGACTGAACTCAGCAAGAGTACCGTAAAAAATAGGGAAATGGTAAATTTTTCAAAACCAAATAAGCAATAAACAAAATTTCCATTTTTATCTTCATACATAAAAATGGAAATATCACCGTTGAATTTCTGAAATAACCCACTAAAACACAATATACTAATATACGGTATTTGACACCGTGCGGAACACCACTTCTGATAAAATATATACCGGACGCCTATGCTTGAAAATGATTTGTTTTGAAATGAGGATAAATCTAATAAAACTATAACAATGACACTTACCATTCAATTCCGATAAAGATTTATATTTTTGGTGAACACGGTAGTACGAATGTACTTTTTCGGTGCTAGTAGAAACCATGTTGAATTATGGCAAAAACACAATGAAATTCGATAACGGACAAATAACGAAAAATCAGGTTCACTTTAATCCAAAACCAACGGCGTCCACACCATCATTAGATGATATCGGGGAGAATGCTACATGTAGAATGTAGCCTAATTTGTCCAATGAATACTTGTGACACTGAAAGATTGATAATACTAGTGGATAGTAAAAGGAGATGGATATGAATTTATTATTTTGACTCCACTTATCAAGAGACACTGAATGTAAATATTTACAATACAATTTAAAAGTATTAAAAAGATCAGTCTACAATGCAAGAGTAAATATGGAAATGTTCATCATTTTGTTAGCTATAGTTAATACCAGTGCTTTCTTTCATTGTTTTGGCACTTTTATGATGGGTTGGTTGATCTAATCTGCAAAAATATAATTCGGTTTCTAGATTTGCGCTTCTCAAAAACGGAGTAAGTGTTACATGCATTAGATGCAAATGATAAAAATGTAAAATATAATTGCTGAAAACTGAAAAGTATTTGATTTTTCAAAAATACTTTCAATTACGTCTACCGTACAATTTTGCGAAGACAAACTCATTTATCTCACTAGAATCGTTTGTGAATAATCTGATCGACTGCACTACAATGACTAAGTGAAAAGAAGTTCAGCAAAGGTTTAATGTTTTACTATTTTGTTATACAACATACCTACTATATCCATTGTATACATTTATTATAGCGAACCTGCTTCTACCACTTCTTCGTTGGAAGAAAATTTACGACCTTTGAACATCTTTTCCCTAACTAATTAAATAAAACCTTGTTTTATTTAATTAGCTCGCACAAGTTTCGAATTCTGAGAGTTGTCTTTCGTAGGGAGGCGACAGCTAGTTAACGGAAAAACGGATTATTTTAAATGATAGTCGAAAGAAGCCAGATCGAACACTAAACCAAGAATTGTTTGCATGACAACATGAAATTTGTGTGTAGGGGCATTAATCTAATGAAAAGAAAAATCCACCACCCAAACAAAAATGCTGTCCTTCGACGCGCGTTTTGCCAAGTTAGCATCATCAGGAAATGAATAAAACTCAAAATATTCAACAATCTCCCAGAAGAATTGAAGTATATAAATAAATTGTCTTCATTTAAACATGAGTTACAAAACTTTTTAATGGAAAAACGTTTTTATAGTACCTATATGTGATTTTATAAAAATTCATAATATGCGATTAACTATGTGTAATGTAAATTTCAGTAATAAGAGTATTTTAACCTTTGTATTTTTACTTTAATAAAATGAATAAAAAAAAATTTGTCAAATTACCACTGGTTGATCGGGTTGATCCCATTATCAAGTATACTTGATAACAATAACAATATCTATGGGGAAAATATTTTAAAACTCTAATCAAGGTGTATGATTCATAGAATTATATTTATATAGATAACATGGATACATTGAAGCATAGTATAAAAATAATCTGAAGTCTCAATCTCTTTCATCACTTTCCCGTGTATCGAGTGAATTTATATTGAAAATCAACGATTATATTGGTAGCTCCGCCACACTTTCTAAAACCGGCATGGTCTATATCTCTTACATTTCTGGCATTTCCTTATTTTATAAATTGTAAAATTGATGATTTAAAAATAATCATAGACTCACCTAAAATATCCAACTCTGTATCTCCTTACAATTTTTATTTCTATTCAATTCATCGAAGATATTTGTACATGACGTAAATCAGAATATATTTACTGGCATACCGCCAGAAAACTTTAATGAAGAAATATATTGATAGGTACACAGCTGACTTTTAGGTGGCATGGTCTATTCAAATTTAACATGAAAACTAAAATGTATTGAAAGTGGTAGATACACTTTGTAAGAGAGAAAACTGTTTCAGTAAAGTTGGTAATGTTTTTTGTTGATTGCTACGGGTTTGAATTTCCATTCCCTGAAGAATGTTACCAGACTTGAACTCTAAGTGGAAAAGATAAATGATAAGTTAAGTGAATATTTGCAATAATTATCAAGTAAATGAAGTGTAGTTTTGAGTTGTGTTTTGTTAAATTTGAGAGCCCATATACATACAATAAATCATTCTCTCAACTATTCAATCTTAGCATTCTTTAATCTCAGAATGAAGGAACTAGAGCCCAAAAAACGAAATGTAATCTGGTATTTTAATAAATGTTATTCTATATTTGAGAATCTCACTCCTTCAAAAAGCCAAACAGATTTGTATACCTACTGTTCATGATTAGTAATTCTATGATTGTAATAACTTTTTTCTACACCAGTACTCTAACAATACACTTATATGACCATAATCCGTTTCATAATGATATCCATTATGATACAGATTTTTCATAACGATACAGATTATCAACCAATAGAAACCCATAATTTTTCAATTAAGAATCCTGTTCCTTTGTTTGTCCTAGATTCTAACCTAAGTAACTAATTGCTTTATTTGTCAAAGGCATAGTAAAAGTATAGATATACTCAATGAGACAATAGCTCATGATATACAAAAAATCAAGTCTTGTTGTGATTCCAATCTACTCTCCCTTGATATTTCGAAAACAAATATTATGACTTTCAAATGTTCACTTCAGAATTTATCTATAGCGAGCGGTATCATTGAGAACAGAGAGTGTACTAAATTTCTGGGGCTGCATATAGACGGTGGACTGAAATCTGACGCTCACATCAGAAAAATGAAAAGTAAAATTTCCACTGGCTGTTATGCAGTGAGAGTTATATCACTCTTTGGTAGAAGGTACGGTATACCTTTTTGGGGTGTGTGTATCCATAATTTGCTGGAGTCTGAATTTGTATTACAGAAGAGAGCTATACGATACTTGTGCAAAGCTAAACCTCGTAACTCATGCAGGCAACTGTTCATAGATAAAAAAAAAATGACGGTTGTAGCTCTTTTTATTCTGGAGACAGGGTGTTTGATTAAGAAACATCTTGTGAAACTTGAGGTTACCACCCATCACTATACAACTCGTCAGAGCGTACAAAAAAAATCTTAAAATTACCTATTCCTTGCAACTCTCTGGTCAAGGACTCCTTATTATACAATGGTGTGAAGATGTATAACCATCTGCCGAGTTACACTAAAGAGATAAATATTGATACCAATCAGTACAAAAAATGATTATAGAAATTTTGAGTAGTAGACCCTATTACAGTTTGACTGAGTTCTATACCGATCATTTTTAACTTAGCATGTTTAATGTGTATGTATGTTTCAACCATTGTTTGTGGTTTTTTATTCAGTGTTTTTATACTTAGGTTTACTCTAATGACCATTATGAGTCTGAAATTTTTTGTATTTTTGACATAACAAAATGTTTTTAGTAATATCGAAAAACAAACGAACTTGTATCCAGACAAAGACTAAAAAAAAGAGTAAAGTGAATTAAAGTGTATTTCATTATGTGTTACCTAATTATATTCATGGCAAATCATAAAACAATACCGTATGACAAGAATCTAGAAGATACTGTAATATAAGGAAATATTAGCAATACAAAAAAGTAATATGTTTTACACAAGGAAAGAGAACATCAGAAAAATCACTGCAGTCTAACAGAGATAACGGAAAAATGATATACAATCAAATAAAAATTATCAGTATAAACTGAATGAAAATTGTTCATTTTGGAAGATATTATTTAAAAATGAAATATTTGAGTAAATCACTTTCAAGTGAATTATCTTCCATACCAGTTTGAGTTGTCTTGATACAAATAAGGCATAGGAGCACTGAACATAATCTTCATGGCTGGGCCAGTTCAAACAATCGTGCAAGTACCTAGAAAAGTAATGAAGTGAGGGAACTATTATTTTTTAGAGTTTGTTTTATTTATATTTAGTTTGTTTTGAGGAAACCCGTTTTTGGCTAGGTTTTCATTATCACCATATCATCAACAGTTTGTATCAAATCAAACTGTAATTCATCTTAGTTCATCAAGGTGGTATCATCAACAAATAATACACATTTTCGATTGTGTAATATTTTCATAATAGTCATTTATATACAGAATGAAGAGAATGGGTTCAAGGGTGGAGCCCTGGAATACATCATGTTTTATAAGCAGACAATAGCCGGCCACATATATAGCGACTTAGAGAAGGTTTTAGCATGGCCAATGCAAAGCATGCGAGCCAAGTCTGTGGCGAACCAAGAACACTGTTTTGAATAGCAATACTTTGATGAGAGTCTTGTACCTACCAAAAATGTATGTTTATGGAGATAAATATTGGCATACTTGATCAAAAGTAGCGCGAGCTTGGATTGGTGTGACTCGACGGTGGCGGAGAAATGAATAACAAAAAAAATGTATAGCGATGGCTGTAACGTATGTTGGAATCATAGACCAAGGAAGAAATAGGAGAAAATGGAAAAGAAATGGCTAAAAAAAATACACACACTTAAATCTGTTAAGTGAATTACGACTAAACGATCCAGATGACTTCAAAAATTATTTAAGAATGGATTGTGAAACGTTTGATCAATTGCTAGGTGTGTTAAGGTCATATTTGATGAGACAAGACACACCGATGAGAAGATCAGTATCAGCCGAAGCTCGGTTGAGTGCAACGCTTAAGGTTTCTAGCAACGGGCCGTAACTATGAAGATTTAAAATTTAGTACCGCAATTTCCGCCCAAGCTTTGAGATATATTATTCCGGAAACATGTAGGACTATATATGAGTGTTTGAGTTTGAGTGTTGAGTTGAGTTTGAGTAAATACCGATTTCTCATCTTTTGAAGTTTTGAATCTTTTTGACTGTGGGTTTGTTATAAATCTGCTATTAACAGTCCTTGTTTTGGGATCGGGACCGCTGGCAAGTACCTAATTGTGGAGGGGCATTAGACGGGAAGCATATCAGAATTCAGCCTCTACCTGGCACCGGTGCTATGTATTACAACTATAAAGGATTTTACAGCATAGTGCTTATGGCTTAGTGAACACTAAAGGAGAATTTATCTTTGTTGATGTTGGTAAAAATGGAAGACTGTCAGATGGAGGAGTAATAGAATATACCAGCTTCTCTAAAAACCTGCAAAATAATGCTCTTAGTTTGCTCGACAATATTTAAAATGAATATGGTTTAAATTCAATATTTATAGGAGACGAAGCATTTGCATTACACAAACATGTATTGAAACCTTTTCCCCAGAGAGAACTAACATATA